AGAAGTGAGATGGACGTAATAGTGTGAATGTATTTGTAGGTGGTTGATGAGGCACAGACTGGAGTGTGTCCTTACGTTCGCTGGGTGTGTGTTATTATATCTCATTTCATCCTAGTTCACAGCTATCGCTCGTATTCTTTTTCCAACTGACCACACTTGGCGCTTTACATATCTAAGAAGTTGAGTTGAGTAACTAAGGCTAGATTTGCCTGGTAAATAACGTTATATTAATACTAACACTGCATATTACATTTGTCTATACAATAAGGTACACCTCTATCATAAGAAGTCGCAGGTAACTAATTTAAGCATAGTCCTGATAAGAAAAATTGAAAACAGAGTCGAGGGTTATTTTCATTATTTAAAGTAAATTGTGTTCGTCATATTTATTAAATGTATATCTTTAAGATTTAAATGTTTTTTTCCATTGTACAGTTTTTCTGTAAATAAAGAAATAATATATTTCCAAAAGTTTCTTTTAATTTGCTAAATCATTTCTTAATTAAAACAGTGAACAAGAATGTGCCCATTCTAAAAGTTTGACATAATAGGATACATTGTTCATTTTCTGCTGTTATTTATGTTACGGCTTAGTGGCAAAAATGAGCTAAAGTTGAAAATAAAAGAATTGTTGTTAACAGTTTTTCCTTTCAAGGTTTGCAAATTAACGTTATGCTTAATTACAACTCAATTTTACTGATAATCAATGCCAATTTACATAGGAGTCAAGTCAAATATGTATAAGATATGCATTGAATATAGTGCAAATTTTTTTATTTCAGATTAAATAAAGCAAAAGCTAATGATGATCACTCAATTTACTTTAGCTACAATTTATGAATATGATACACAAATTATTTTGTTGTTGTTTTATACCTCATCCTCGGATGTGGGTAACCAATGTTGCAAATATGTGTATGTTGTGTTGTGCTATTTTATACATTTATCTTCATGTGCGCGCACAAGGAATCTAAATGGCGATCTCCTATATTCCACCTGTCGGACGTCTCTCTAGCGCGGTATATCTCTTTAGGTATGTGGATATTGAGGATATATACTTTATAACAACTATAATGTAATATTGGACAGTATCTCCAAATTAGAAAGTTCTTCCTTGTCCCTAGCATCTCTATTGAACTGCTTGATAGTGTACAAACTGTATTACAAACTTTGACACATGTCCTCGGTAAGCGAGTTAGTAAGAAATTTAGTGACATTTTACAAAAAAACTACAGGGTATGGAAAAGTATGTGTCTCAGTGAAAAACATCTTTTAGCTGATAATAATTTACAATTTTTTTTTGAAAATATCACCTCCGTCGATTTTGAACGATCACTTTGGCTGTACACAAATGTGTTTACAGAATGAAGGAGGCGTTTCTCGGAAGAGAATACAGAAAAGTTATTGCACATGCAAATGTTTTCACGTGTTCTCTCTGAGCATTTGTCGTCTGTACAGGACAGTTGAAAAGTAAGTACTTTTCTCTAAACATTATGTAATATTTACAATTATTGTCATATTAACCAATGCGACCAAATAAGTACGCTGTAATCGAAAAATAAATGCGTTGTCGGTTATTTACATATTCGTATACGTGTAACGCCACTGAACTACTATGGAATTTGGCCTAGCCTATTTATAGACGGGGTGAAACAGAAACAATTTTTTTTTTTTTGAAATATCTGAAGAACTGATTCAGACCATTTCTTAATATATTGTACTTCGGCTCGGTGGTGTAGTAGGCTAGAGCACACGATGGCAGTTGTGACTAGAAATCTTCTATCGTAGATTCGGGTTCGAATCCCGCCACCGGCACTGGCAATATCGGTGTGAATGGTTGTATGTCCATGTTTTTTTAAACAGCTTTGGCTTTGGATTTTGAGGGTTGTCTAATTTTTAATTTCTTTGGTGTTTATTATATACCACATTATTTAAGATATTTTGTTACATCGTAAATTTACTCAAAAAAAACTGATTGACGACTCGTTTAAGGGTGTAATTTATTGTTTTAACTTATAACCATTTTCTTCTGGATATTCTACAAAAGTGCATAAAGTTAGTTTTTCTACGCTGCAAAATATACAAAAAGTACTGTGAAATTTTAATATGCACCATTTTGTACAGAAAAATGTATATTGTTGAAACCTGTTTCGATTAAGATAGTTCTAACATCAATTGTTTTACCGGAATGTAAACGCAAAGACAAATATTTATATTACAATTATCCTTAAATATTTCCTCCTAAAGCTTCAATCATTAAATGGATGAGTATAAGTAAAAAAATTGTAAATTGCTCTTTTAAACGAGATGTCTATAAATATTTTTCTCAATAAATTTTTTTGTAACCAAATATCTTAAATAACGTGGTAACAATACAAAATTTTCAGGAATTATCTGAATCAGTTCTCACTTATTCTCAAAGCGTTGTAGCTCCCTTAGGAAACGCTTAAGATTATATATTTTTGAGACGTTTTAAAATTAAAAATTGTTTTCTCTTTACTCTGTTTCAGTTCTGTTATTAAATCCTGAAACACCCTATAATAAATTTGAATTAATGAATTTACATTATTTACAAAAAAAGTAAAACCTGACTGTACACAGAGAAAAACCATTTTGGCAAATTTTACACAACACTGTGGAACAGGTCTTTTATTTTTAAACAAGTGTAAAATTTCAAAGCAAAGCTATTATACAGTTTTATACATTTTAATTGTGCATAATGTTGTACCTACATTTTTTTATTTGCCTAATATAAAAATTTAGTTACAATGATTTTGTTGGATAAGTGTTCTAACCAATTGAGGAAATTCAGAGACAAATTTATTTATTTTTACTCAACAATAGCAACTTAAGCTTAATTCATTGTTAATCGTGCCCTAAAACTACATATTTTATTAGTTATTACCATTCTATTTACAAGTAGTTTTTAGTAACTGTTTAAAGGGTGTGCGGTTTGCACAAATTGTGTAACATAAAAATTAGAGATTTTGCAAAATCAGTGTCATTTTCTGAATTTTCCAGTAAACTGCTATGCCATGTTTCCTCAGTAGTTTCAGAATCTGAAGTCTGTTTTTTCTCATAATCTTTTCTATTGAACTGCAGTATTAAGGCAATTAAGGCCTATAATTTTAATAAGCTCGGTTTGTACCAGCAGCAGATTCAAATCTATTTTTTTCTATCTTAACTCTCTGGACTATTTGTAACAACATCATGTTATATAATTGAGCTTCAGAGACATTTCAGTTATTAGTATATTTATTTTGTTAGTATTTGTATGAAACTCTGACTACTGATACAACGGATTTATTTCAAAGAAACCCAGTACACCAGAGATTTAATTGTTTTAATTGTAAATAATGGTTTCAATCAGAAATGAACTTTTATATATATATATATATATATATATATATATATATATATATATATATATATATATATATATATATATATATATATATATATATATATATATATATATATATATATATATATATATATATATATATATATATATATATATATATATATATATATATATATATATATATATATATATATATATATATATATATATATATATATATATATATATTTATTGAGAGAATTATTATAACTGTATTTGTTACTAAATCAAGTTATTGTATATAAGTTAAAAAATATCCAGCTCTATTATTGTTTCCTTCTACACACCAATTGGTTTGATTATATTGTTCAGTTCTTTAAAGCATTCAAAGATAGATTCTATTGTGGGTTCGTCAGATTTACAATATTATATCCAATCTGCAATTGACTGTAATATGTCTATGAGATCAGAAACTTTCACCCAATAATCTTCGTCTAAAATTTGTATTCTTACGGGTTTGTCCATTTTTTTCTAAACATCTTCATTGATGGCCATACTTTGCGAGTCACGTGTACATTTGACTAGGCTAATTAAATATGCTACATAAGATCCTCAATGTGTGGCTATTCGAAAACAAACGACTTCTGACTGTGAAGTTGTTTCTTAATTTCATTGTATGCTACAACTAACATTTTTGACCTCCATTAATATTTTATATTTTGTTTTTTGTGTAAATTAGAATGTTTATTGTCACTGAAATGGATTTTAAAATATCCTGACAGAGTAAGTGAAACATATCTGCAAAACACCCAAAAGAAAGATGAGGATATTTACTTTCCAGCATCGTTGTAGCCTTCCGCATGTTTGAAGCAATGTCAGTTATTAAAACCAAAATTTGTTTAACATGTTCTAGAAGGATCTCTTATAGGGGGCTTGTTACATATTCTGAAGTGTGTTTTATTGTTTTTGTTCCAACAGATTTTATGAATAAAGGTGATGGAAGTTTATTTTACCTTCATTCCCAATATTAAACCAGCTATCACATTGTACTGATATTATGATGATATTTGATTTATTAACTAATTATTTTTGAATAAAAACTAATTCTAGGTTAATCCAGGCTTAATGAGAAAATATGTTGTTTCCATATCATCAGAACAGTAGTTACCGAGAACTCAAGGACTTTGTCATTAAAAGTTTACACTAAAAACCTAACGCAGTATTATCCATTTAACTTTTGTTTTGTTTAAGGGTATAACATTTATGGTTTCATATTACATAAAACAGTAAATAAAGTTGTTTGCCCATCTTCAAAAATGAATTACACTTTATCCAGTTTAAATCGTGTTAAACTTTTAACTCAAAAATTAACGAAGCGGTTAAGAGAGTAATAGTAATTACTTAAACATCAGATTTTACTTGTTAAGCAGCTAAAAGAATAAATCTCTGAAAGGAATTATAATATAATTCACAACGTTAACGCAAAATGCATTTTTTTTATTTTTTCTACTTAACGGTATAACACAACCCTTTCGCTTGTATTTAACAAGTGAACAAATATTATTCATTAAGAGAGCTATATATTTCTCTAGATATGATCTATTCCCGGAAGACGGTATGGCGGCTACACGAGAACCGCCTGTGTAGCACACCAGAGAGTCCTACGTGGTCGAATGGTAAAAACACTTACCTTTCACCCATGGAGTCCCGGGTTCGATCCCCGGTCGCGGAGCTAGGATTTTTTCTAAACCAGAAATTACTCCTAGCATACTCTGACATTGGGTGTGTGTCCATTATCTCTAAATTTGTAGCCCTCTCCCACACAAGATACCTTGAGGTACCTTCAGGGATACAGGGGGTTGTATTACTTGTGGTGTTTAATTAAAATAGTTAAATGTTAGTTATCTACATTACTAATGAGCTTTACTATCTTTTATTGTACTTTGATTGAAATTAAATTTTCATTGACATCAAAAACAAGTTTTGAACTTTGTAAAATTACACTAATAGATGATAAAAATCAATAGAAACCAAAACAGCAGAATAACTACAATCAAGAAAATCACAAGTCTGTCTTAACCCATGGTGGCTCTCAAATATGACCGTATTAGTTTTAAATTGCTAAATGTTCGTTTACAGCTGGCGATGGAATTTGTGATGGTTAGCATTATCTGAATAGCAATGAGAAGATTGGGAAAGACGTTCACCTCCATACTGAATAATAAATGTATGCTCTTCAGGTATTGATATTTTTATTCTGCAATCCAATATTTCTTCATATGGCTGATGTTCATCAACAAAGCAACTGTATAATTCGCCAAAATGTTTACACTTCTTCTATAGTTGTTATTGTCGACATCGAGAAGGAACCCAAACTTGACGCCATTGTCGTTCAAACTAGCGAACCTTTCCTCCTACGTCTGTTACATTTTGATCATTTTCGTTCACATTACAGTAGTCACAGTCCCGAAGTCACATATGCTCTAAATGATCTACCATCAATTATAGATGTCAATTTTTTTTCATTTACAAAATGTTTGAACTAAATCTCTGTTTGTAATAAATCTAGTTTAATGTGTTTGTTATGTATATTTTTTTTATCAGTGTATAAGATACATTATCAAATATTTTTTGTCTATTTATATATAATGACAATTATCATACACTGTGGAACAGCCAAATTGAATAAATTCAGTAACTCAATTACTGTGCAGATTTATAAAAAATCCCGAGACACGTCGATTTTGGATTCAAAAATGACACCCTGCAGCATAAAAATTTCGTCCCTAAATTTAACCCTCATCGAGTGGCAGTTGCAACCCCTAAATTATTAAATGAGAAGCCCCACCTGTGATACCTTAGTTGAAAAGGTCTTTTCATTCTCTATTCAAAAATGCTATGGTTTTAATATTTATTGCAAAAATTAACGGTCTGCTTGACGAGCAGCGTTTTGTTCTTCCAGGCTAGCAAAAACAATTTGTGTTCTTTTTCAACATTATTAACTAAAAAAAAATACATAAAAATTTATCAAAATTCTTCATTCAGTTTTATTGAAAACGCCGTAGCGACTTGCTATTTGATTGACAGCAATAAACAGTTGTCAGTGTATTGCGTATTGTTTGAGTTTTACTAACTGCAATTCCTAAACATGGTTTATTTAACAGAAATGCATAAAATAACAATTTTGCAGATGATTGGTTATGGAGATAGAATGCGATCACAGGCCGAAGTAGCTCGTCTGTTTCAAGAAAAATTTCCTGATTTGCCGCCTATATCTCAAGGTAGAATTAGCAAAATTGAAGAGCATTTTCGCGAAAATGGACATGTACGGCAGATAAAAGAGAAACTTTCAATGCAATGAGTAACGATACCAAATTTGATATACTGCTTGAGTTTAAAGAAAACCCACATAATTCAAGTTGACAAGCAGCTTCAGCATTGAATGTTTCCCATTCCTCGATTATTCGCCTTAAAAGAAAATAAAATGCATCCCTATAAACTGATCCCAACTCAGGAGCTTAATGAAGACGATTTTGTTAGAAGAACATATTTTTCTGAAAAAATGATGCAAAGGTATGTTATCCAACTAGAAAATGTTTTGTTTTCTGATGAGTCCACTTTTACTCTTCACGGCCATGTTAATCGTCAAAACTGTCGCTACTGGGCTAATGAAAATCCTCACTGGATGAGAGAATTACATACGCAAAATCCTGAAAAGGTTAATGTTTAGGAAGGGATATTATTTAACTCTGTTCCAAAATAATGTCGTGCCAATTTTAGCAAACATATCCTGCTCAAGCAAACCCACAAGTTCCAGTCGATGTGATATGGTTCCAGCAGGATGGAGCACCACCACATTACTGAATCAATGTCCGGCAATACCTCGACATTATATTTCCAAATCGGTGGATAGGGAGGCGGGGATCGCTAGAATGGCCAGCACGTTCTCCTGATCTTACACCCTTAGATTTCTTTCTATGGAGATATGTAAAAAGTATGGTATACAAAACTAAGCCAAGCGATATAGCTGACTTGAGAAGAAAAAATAACGGTTGCGGTAAGGTCGGTCGCGCCTCGGATGTTGGAAAACGTTAGAAGACATTTTTATTTAAGTTTAGGATGCTGCCAAGATGTTCAAGGAACTCATTTTGAACATCTCTTACGTTGAAATTAAGTTTTTTTTAGGTTGCTGTAGCGAATTTCGTCAAGCAGATGAATTTATTTTTTTAAAGGTAATCTTTGCAATAAATATTAAAACCATAGCACTTTTGAATAGAGAACGAAAAGACCTTTCAAATGAGGTATCACAAGCCCCTACTTCCCATTTAAAAATTTAGGAGTTGCAACTACCACTCGAAGGAGGTTAAATTTAGGGATGACATTTTTATGTTGCAGGATGTCATTTTCGAATCCAGAATCGACTAGTCTCGGGATTTTTTATAAATATGCACAATAATTGAGATACTGATTTATTCCATTTGGCAGTTCCACACTGTATATGTCTATGTTGTAAATATATATTCTAATAAATAAATAAATTTCATTGTGAAGACGGTCGAGTGTTCTCTTCGTGACTTTAATAATATGTTCTACATTAACTAAACTAAATAACTTTCTTTAAATTATGACAGCATTAAATAATATACATATGAATTTTAAAAAACCAGTGCAAACCAATGCACAATGGAATTGGATATTGGAGGCTGCTGGCTGCAACAGGGCGAATATAAGTTCCAATGAGTTTTACTTTTCTCCAAAGATTTCTACGTGTTAGTTATTTTGTTATTGCACAGCGTGCAAATATTATTTAAAAATGTTGGGTCATATTTAGGGTGTCTGTAAGTCGTATTTTGTTTTTATAATAAATTATTAAATACTTCAGATAATATTCAGCAAGAAGTTGTGAACTGTAAAGAATCCCGCTTCCTCAGATCGCTTAGTAAATAACATATATTTCTCTGGACTTTTCATTTCTGATGTCGTCCACCAGTGACTTCATATACCTTTAGTTTTTAGCTTCCCTTTCCGCAACTAAGTGCAACGATCTTGTTTGATTTGATATGGACACGCAGTCAAACTTGTCAAACTCTACCGACCGAATGGCATTTTTTCTGATTTCTTTTAAAGCTACGGCACTGTAAATAGGTATTCATTATACATAACAAAAGTTAAACTCGCCTGTCCAAAATTAGAGTAGTGTTATTTTTAGAATAAATTGAAATTTCATATAAGGGTCAAGGACTAAATTAAGAAGTAAGTTGTACACGTGTCATGTCAGTGGAAACGTAATAGTTTAACTGTCGACAAGTTGGATTATAGACATTAAATCGATGCTCCCTTTTATTTACAAAAACTTGTAGGATTATAATATGATGTAAAGCAAATTGGAAACACGCACGTATGCTTATCGTATAATCACTAATCACTTCATATGGTGAATGAAACAGACTTAGGTGATACTTAGGAAAAATGTTCTCAAGAATGAATATAATTATAATGCTTGAATTAAATTGTGTAAGCCGTTATTTTGTGATAATCAATCATGATGATATAACAAAAAAAAACATTTTATTTTGTTTTTTATCACTAATTTATTGTAACTTCGCGTTACTGCAATTTCGGCACTTAACGTGCCATTTTCAAATGATTCTGAAGAGAATGAATAAACAAAAACAATTGCAATATATTTATACTATATTATAGTAACATTAAGGTAATACACTCCAAACTTACTTATAATCTCCATCCGGCAGAATTTGATTTGTTTGATGACTATCTGAGTAATAAAATTGGCAGATAAATGTTTGTAAAATATACAGCACAAAACAAAAAATTAAAAAAACTTGTAAAATTAAAAACTAATAGCAATAAGAATGGAACCCATAACAACAATATTGATCAATTCAGTGACAAAGTTACAAATTATTCAAATACAGAATTGTCTAATAAAGAGCTAGATCTCATAAAAATGTGCCCTAAATACTCACCACATTTTATTAAGAATTCATTTGTAGAAACAGAACAAGCCCTAAAATATATTGACAACACATACCTCACAAATTCAAAACTGTCTAATATATTAACCATACAAAAAAATGTAAAAATTAAAAATAGCGATAATCAAACCATTAAATCGATTAATAAATAAATTAAAGACAACAATTTAATCCTAACCAAAACAGACAAATCAAATGCAACTGTAGTTATTTCGAGATTAGATTATGATAAAATCCAACAATTTATTCAATCCAAATTAGTTGAAATTAAGAGTAGTAGAGTCAAATCCAAAACCAAGCAATTTTTATCAGAAAACTATATTTTATTTAAGCGATGATAAATACAAATTAGTAATCCTCGTCAACCCAAACTTTATGGTCTTATTAAAAACCGTAAAGAAAATGCTCCCATACGACCGGTTATATCATATATGAATAGTCCTATACACATAGTAAGTAACAAAATTAATTCAATCCTGAAAACCTAACAAAATTCCAACTTAAAAAAAAATTCTGTCGAACTCACAAAATATTTATGTAAAGAAAACATTCCATGAAATAGTTTTTAGGTATATTTTACCCAAGTCAAAATGATAATAAATAATATACACAAAACATGGGATTGGCAATAGGGTCTCCCCCAAGCCCTCTTTTAACAGATATTTTTATCACATTTAGAAGGAAAGATAGTAAATTTCTATTTATCCAAAATACATATAACATTTTGGTACAGATATGTAGACAT